ATGTCATAATCATCTTTAATGTCATTTCCAAGCATTCACTTATGCTAATCAAATGTCTGCACATATATATAGAACTTTCATCATACATTTGTACAGCACACCACATAATTTCACATTACGGAGCACAATCCAGACAGTTCTGATCCTTTCACCACTGGTGGCAGTACTGTGAGGTTTCTTCCCACCAATCTAGGTTTCAGTTGCACAGGTTCAACACCAGGTGGAGGAGGTTCCTCCCCATCTTCCCCACCTGCTGCTTCCTCCCCACATTCTTTGGTGGCCTCAGCAAGTACTGGACCATGTCCATTATCAGTACTTTGATCTGTGGGCAAAATTTCTACATCTCCCTCGCTTTGGGATTCCTTGGCAATCACAGAAGGAAGGGTTGTAATGTTTATTTTAATCTTACCAGGGATAGGGCCAGATGTGATTTGTGGAGAATCTTCAAATTTAACATTGCCATCAATAGAACATGCTACAGCCGCATATGTTGTGTCAACAGCTGGGGCAGCAGGCTTGACGTCTTCCTCCCCTCCAGTTCCTTCCTCAGTTTCCTTATCTTCTGACTCAATCTTGATCTCAGTTTCAGGTTCTTTATCTTCAGTTTCCATGGGTTCCTCTTTTACTGGAGTTGCATCCAATGGAGGTTCAAGTTTTACGTCCTTTAGCGGGTCTTCAATGTCACCCACCTTTTCATCAGCATTTCCTTCTTCAGTTTTAACTTCCTGATCTAAAAAAGAAATGTAAATTACATCAGAAGAGTTTTATTTTTGGAAGAAATATGAAAAACTGAAATTACAATGAGAATTCAAGCCCATCTCTTTCAGTTGAGCACAATCAATGACCCACAACAAACCTTACCTATACTATGGAGAGATTGTCAGGGCAAGACAGAATGGTGATAGTTATGTAAAGACTTGGAAGGAAAGAGTGCACACAAGGTGCTATCGGTAAGTTTCAAGATTGCTGTTGTAACTGCCTTGATGAAAAAAGAGAGGGTAGGCCAAGGCCACATTTCTGCAAGCCTATTGTGTCAGTCTGCTACGTGACAATGCACTGTTTTTATGTGGGTGTTTTTTTTTTACTTAAAATTGAGCAATGTGTCTGCATCAAGTTTCACATGAAGCTCGGTAGATCCACTTATCAAAACCCATGAAATGCTCTGTGAGGCTTTTGGAGAACATTCTTTTTTATCTCTTAGGATCATAGTGGGTGACTTAACATTGGATTTACAGTTATGATCAAGCAACAATCGTTAAGAGTGGAAGAGCCCACAATCACCAAGAGCAAAACAGGCATGGTAGGTCTGGAGTTCAACAAAGAGCGCCCATTGTTTCTTTTTTCAACATGAAGGGGATTGTTCACCATGAATTTTTCTCCTAACACTACAGTCAACTCTGACTATTCCTGTGAAACTTAGAGACATTTTAGAGAAAATGTGTGACAAAAAAAACTGGAACTTTGGTGCGACCATAACTTGCTCCATCACGACAACATGGTTATCATTCCCCCACCCTCCCTACTCTGCAGACTTGGCCACCTGCGATTTCATTTTTGNACTTTTATCAATCTCACATTTAAATTTTTTTTGTGTACAATCTCTGAGCTTCATATTTCCACTGTGATCATCATTAAATCATGCAAGAAGACACAGAAAATGAAAATTAATGCTGAACTTGGTATTTTGTACCACAGAAGTGATTGCAGCTAGTAAATACTTAACTGCTATTAAATTATCTGGCAGAAAGCTGGACCAATATCAGTAAAATACATATAATTTGCGGAAATATCTGTGTGACACTATCTTCTTTACGCTAAAATTTATGTTTTGTACTCTGCAAAACAGTGACTTGAATATTAATGTTGCCTGGGATATGGTGCCAGTAATGTGGTAGAAGGGTGCCAATGTTTGGAGGAACTATATTCACTCCTCTGTCCTGCAGAGGAAAAGCACGGTCCTTTAATATGGCACTTTCTACCACAGTATGTGGTACTGCATCCTAGAAAGCAACGATCTTCATATTCACCAATGTGAAAATCTCAGAATGCTTCTGCCTTTGTACCACACATTACACAACAAAATTCCCTTTTAAAGAATTTCTAAGGGATTAAACAGAGGAAATTCACCATTCAGCTATTTGGTCTGGCACCACAGGAACTGAACACTAAATGTTGGGTTGCATGCACAAAGCTCTCTCAATAGGTTACTCCTGAATTACCTTAAAGGTAAGAGAGAAAAATAAATGACTACTTTAACACTGTCAAAAGTCAGTGGGATAAGGAGATGGCTTTTCATCAGATAATTCTTCTGGAAATAATCCCACCCCCTATATCCGAAAATCTTAATTGCCAGTAGTTAAAGAATCAATGCTGATTTCTTGGGAACAGTAAAAGAAACAATCAAGACCTGCTATTGTGCAGGAAAGATACCACAGGTGTCAGCAGTCTATTACAGTTATAAAACAAACCAGTTTAATGGATGAGTAACATAATAATGGATTCTATACTAATATATTCACAACTTATATCTGACACATGATTAAGTTATATTTAAGACAGCTAAAAAGATTCATATTAAAATTTTGGGCACCTAAGCCCTATAAATTAAATCATGCTAATACACTCTTATCAGTTCTACAAAATGTTTTTTTATGTTACATTACATCCATACAAGATATCAAAGTTTCCATTTAGTTGTTTTTTTGTTTTTTTTTTTTTCATTTTCTGACAATTCAAATACTGGAATTAAGCTGTATGTCTTCATACTAATGTGAAGTGACACCTGACATATATTATTGCACTTAACTTACCATTCATTGATTCCTCTTTGTTCTCATGTGGAACTGAGGTATTCATCATTTCTACATCACCCTCTTCTTTGTTTTCCATCTCATTGCCTGTATTAGTTTCCTCCTCTTCATCTTTAGTATCTTCGGTGGCATACTGTTCTTCTAGTGACATCTCAAGCGAACCCTACAATATAAAATATATTTATATTACCAAAACCCTCATGAACAGGTGTCTGAATAATAATTATACAGCATTTAAAAATGTAATAATAATTTCTCCATTATTCTTTTAGTGTGAATGAAGTATATTAGTATGTTAAGAAAGTCAGCATACCAAAAGAAAATGTGAATTATGCGACAAAAATTCAGTTTCACTATGTTACACCACTCACTCACTCGCTCACTCATGGAACTGAGATGTTCCTGAGAAGCTGCCAACTGTGTAGCTACTCAAGAACTTCCCAGCATTTTATGGAACCCGAAGGTTCATTACCCTTTTCATAAGAGCTCTTGACTGGTCCCTATCCTGAACCAGATCAATCCCAACCTATCTCCAAGATCCATTTTAATATAGTCCACCCACCTACATCTTGGTCTTCCTAGTGGTCTCTTTCCTTTAGGCTTTCCCACCAATATCCTATATGCATTTGTCTTTGCCCCATTCGTGCTACATGCCCTGCCAATCTCATCCACCTTGACTTTATCATTCTAATTATACTTGGTGAAGAGTACAGGTTATGAAGCCCCAATTATGCAGTTTTAACAGCATCCCATCACTTTGTCTCCCTTCGATCAAAGATTCTCCTCAGCACCCCGTTCTTACAAAGCCAGGACAGTGTAGTTGGTATAGCAACTGGCTACGGGCTGGATGACTGAGGGGTCAGAATTTGCGTCCCAGTGGGGATTTCACGTCTCCATGTCAGCCAGACCGGCTCTGGGGTCCACTTAAAACTCCTATCCAATGGGTACCAGGGGGTAAAGCGGCAGGGGCGTGAAACTGACCACTCACCTTCAGCTAGTGGATCTATACATCCACTCCCCCACATACCTTCAAGGCATAGTGCTTAATTAGCTAAACACAGGGACACTTTAGTTTTCCTTTACCTGTTCTTAAACACACTGAGCCTATGTTCCTCCCTTAATGTCTGAGACCAAATTTCACACCTATACAGAACCATGGACAAAATTATAGTTTTCTATACTCTAATTTTTATGTTTTTAGACAGCAGATGAAAACACAAAAGATTATGGACCAAATGGTAGCAAGCATTACCAGAATTCAGTCTCCTCTTAATTTCCTCCTGAATCAGCTTTTGATTTGTTATAGTCATTACCAATTATCTAAACAGTTCCACATTTTCGAAACATCTGTTAGCTATCTTTATGTCACCATTTTGCCCTGCATTCTGGTGATGAGACAGCAACATATCTATGTTACACCATACAAAAAGTTGCCAAAATAATATGAAAGTATATTTGAAAAAGTTAAAAATTTCTTTAGAACTGGCTGTATGTATGTTGTGATTGATTTAACCAGCAACTCTATTTTCTCAAATAATTCTGCATCCATGAATATGATGTGGACCCCATTTCTTAAGGAGGATGGAGGGATGTGACAGGATGTCTGTTTCCACTACATTACATGTCATAAGCATAAATAACAGAACAGTTCCTCTACATATTAGATTACTGGAGCCTGTATCAAAATTGATTTCAGACCTTTAATCATTGTCAAATTTATAAATAATTTGTACTGAACAAAAATTCATAAAACCAGAAATCTGAACCAGAATTCATGACACTCACAAATCCTAAAGAAATGCATCCATAGCACAACAATTCTGTGTTCAACCCTCTTACTGCATCTAGATTTTCTATTCATGAATGCAAGCGCTTCCAATGTAAAATCAGTTCAGTGATTCTCAGTTGAGGTGATACCATAAAAGTAACTTTTAATTATCTTCAAAACTGTAAAATTAAGAAAGAATATGCTGGGCATGAAATATGTATTTAATTTTCCTTAATTTCTGTCGACAAATGTACATCTTAATGAAAAGCCAAAATTCGAATTTGTACACGAACTTTAGTGAAATTTCCCAATATTAAATAAAAGAAATTTAAGAACCCTTGAGCCACTACATGCACTGCAAGCAGCTGGAGGAGAAATAATGTGAACCTAATGGGCACACTTTTGCAACTTACTGTGAACATGGGGGGGGGGGGAACACACAAAATAACAATTACTACTACTACCCCACCTGTGTGTAAATGTCAGTATGTTCCACGATTATATGATAATGAATCCATTCCTGTAATTACATTATATTAACCTTACATGACCAGAGTAGCGATTCTAAATCTCTTTAAGTTCTATGGTATTCTACTTTGGGTGTAAAAGATTATCATCTGGGAATACCTCTAATCAAGAGTAACGGTATTAGTAGTGAAAAATGCAATGCTTAGCCAGGTGGACCACATATATGTGCCACTGCAAAAGGTGATGCATGTAAAGGTGTTCTGATTTTCACATGCAAACGCCTCTATATACACTTTTTAGGAGGCAAGAATATGATGTCTAAAGAATTACATTATTATGATTTCCAACTTTCATCATCACCTCAGAGACATGTGATACAGAAAATGGTGATAAGATTCTGTTTTTAATACCTCTGACAGGATAATGATAGACTGACATAGCTGAATTTTGGATGAAATAAAATTATGATTTTTAAGTTATATATGTAAGTACAATAATTTAAAATATAAATAAAGGCCAAATATACTGTTCAACCTTTATCACAAGGGCATCACACAATCTGCCAGCACATGCACTCGTTCAGGAGGTCTAGTGCTAAATTTTTTACAATATAAATTCCATTACTTTGATAAAATGGTAAATCAGTCCCTTAACTAATTAAGTGCTACACCACAAAAAGGTATTGGGGAGTGTATGTACAGATCCACATAATCTTAACCTCAGCACTAATTACAGGTCAGTGGTCAGCTTCACACCTTGGCCATTTTACACCCAGGGAAAAAGAGCCCCCAGTACCCAGTGGATAGGAGGCTGGTTGGGCCCCAGAGCCAGTCTGGACAATGTGGTGGAGAAAAATCTTGCCCTTATTGAGACTTAAACTCTAACCCCTCAGCTGTCTAGCCTGTAACTAGTTGCTACACTGTGTTATCCTGACTCATAAAAGTCAATTATGGCAAAGTATAAATCGAGTCACCAACACCATAGTAGCAGGAGATTTAAACTGATGGATGAAGATTAAGGTTGAATTAGGAATTTCCCAATTTCAAAATTCCTAAACTAATGAAAGATCCAATATCAGAATAAACATCTCAAATACTGACACAGAATTCCATATAAATTGACATCGTATTATTTATAGGTTAATCCAGTTTAGGGCATATTATATTACCCCAACATTCAGACGTGCATTTAAAGGCAATAGAATAAAGTCTTTAAAAGTAAGTGTAACATTATAATGAATATGCTAACCTTGTAATCATCATAGCAAAGAGGGTGATATGTTTTTCCGTCTACCCTCAATGCTGAACGTAAGTGCCACTCTTCTCTTTCTTCATTATAAAATTGTTCAAATTTGTCATGGCATACAGCACAAAATGTGTCGTCAGGATTTTCTCCAGCGCAAACACTGGGAACTTCTTGTATCTCTTTTTCTTCACCTTCTGCAGCCTGCTGGGTTTCAAACCAGCTTTGTGCTGAAAATAAAGAATTACATACCAACATTATAATACTTTTTGATATGTAATAATGCAAGTTGATGCATGTTCCATCATTTTCTTTTAGTCTATCTCCCTCTCATCTTAACAGTCGTCACCTGCACAGACGAAGCGTTAAATTCCCTATCTTCAGCTGCAGCTCCTTACTGCTATGGCCAGGTCTCAGTGCTGGTAGTGTGATAACATGGTTTAAACCTAGACGTCACTAATAATAAAGAACAGAAACCAGCATGAAGCGGGTAGCAAACAGTTCTAACTGATTCATGCTAGCTTCTTCCTTGCTTTATTTTCTGACCCCGAAGATGGAGGCAACACATTCTTTCAGAAAGTGGGTTGACTTTCGATGGACTACGTGGTATACTTGCCTCCCAGAAGATAGGACTCTTTATGAAAACTATGATCTTGTGGGTTGTAATGCAATGTGGTTTGTGTCAGAAGAACAGACTGCTTCCAACTTCAGGATCAAAGCAAGAAACAAGCATAAGCAGGCAGCAAGCTCAGTCGTTGCTTTCTTGCATGACTCACTCTTCAACCCAGAAGACGGAGAGCAGTGTGTTCCTCTAAAACACTGAGCTTTCCCTGAACTGCAGGGTTACAACCCAGAAGACCAAAAATGTTATCTGATTGCTTAAATTCTCTTTTACACAACCTACTTTCCGCTGAAATTACTGTACTGGCCTTTTTGTACTAATGACTTTTCTAATGAAGGTCACCATAAAAACTAGTTCTGTCAGTTATAGGCATTCCAGAAGTGAAGCACAAGCATGCAATATATCATTCAACTGAAATGAAAGTAAAGTAGTCAACAGTTTGAATGAGTCATTTATTAAACTACTTTTAGTTGATCTGTACCCATCACTAAGTCAGAGGCTAGGAAGCAGCAGAAGCTGGATGATGTTTTTTTAAAAGAAATCATGGCCAGCAGATTCACCAAACACCTCTATAGAGAAATTTTACCATTAGTGATCACAAATGCAAAACTTCAGATTGCTGATTGCTTCAATCAATCCAATCCCCTTCTCTCCCAATGCAATAACTTGCTTCATCATCAACAGAAGCAACCTTCACTCCATATACCTCAACGATTCACCCATCAGAGCACACACCTATCCATTTAACAGGCCATCTACCATGATAACAGTGAATGTTAAATGTTATTTTATTATTAATATAACCTGTTTCTGCCATATAAAAATTATTAAACAGTGTTTAAAATACATGAATATATTTCTTGGAGGGTGGGGGGGAGAGAGAGGACTACGCCTCAGGACAAATGGGCAAGTGGTGCAGGTTTTTTGCACCTATTTAGAGCACATTATGTCATCCTATTTCTCTACAATGTTCAGAATTTTTTTTTTTTCCAAAGTAAATAACTATAAACATAACTTATTCATACTGGAATTATAAATGCTATTACTATAAGAAAGAGGATGTATTATACAGCACAAGACAATCAATCTTGTTGGCCAAGAGTACTCTCCTACCTTTGCATGTCTCAGACATTTTCATTTATTCTTATAGGGAAACTGTATTCAATTTATGTTATATCACCCCTACTACAATTTTTTTTTTTATTTCTGAACACAAATGTTGCATAAATCAAGGACTTATAGCTTGCTATGTTACCACTTTCCATGAATAACACACTATTAGGATATATTGGGAGCATGGAGAGGCTCTAAGCTGAACAAAAATGCCTATTTTTTTGGCTTCATGACCTGGCAACCTTCGCCCCATCCTCAAATTCATTAGATACAAATTGCATATCATACCTCTCTCCTCCAAGTCTTCAATTTCTTCAAACTGGATCCAATCTGAGACATCATAATACCACTTTCTACTCTGAGCTTTGCGAGTATTGTCCTTGTCACGCCTGTTTTGCCGGAAATGCCAATCTAAATGTTGGCTGTACTTCATAGTCTGTTCCGGAGGGAAACGTACCCCACAGGAACTACACTGAATACCAGAGTATAGGATAGCCACTACACCAGGCTGACGTCTAGAAGTAAGACAATGATAACAACAGAGTTAATAATAATACAAAACCAATCAAGAAAGCAGAATTCAGAACCTGATGCTTATAACAATTTAAGTCTACTGCATATCAGTCATTCAGCAACATAACTGTTTCAAAATGAGGACATAACAAGTTTAAATGGTAAATACTTACAATTTCAATGTTTCAGGCTGCCCGAAGTCAACGGCCTTTATAGACTTTGCTTCTTCCTCCTTTTTGCTATCTGCATCAGATTTTGCGGCCTGTGGAACAATTCCCGTTGCCACCAGCCTCTGAAATAGCTCAGCTACATTTATTTCAGCAGGAAGGAATGGGATGTTGCTTAGCCCAGCACCATGTAATTGTGCCTCTGGAACACCTATCACACAAACATTTTAAATTACCACAAACTGATTTAAAATTACCACATACCGACTGTCAGCACAGTAACAATTGTGTCACAGGGTGGTGTGACCATGTTGCTGTACATACCAGGTACTGAGTCTGGAACCTGAGTGGGCAGTTCCTGGGGACCTGGCTGACCATCTTGAGAGCTCTGTTCCACCTGGTAACCAAAACCTGATGCTGGTGCCATCATAGTTGGCATCAAGCTCATCAACATTTCCAGTGGCAATTGGCTCTCTAAGGCATAAATGAAACAATATTTCAAGATAAAGAAAGCAATCTTCTGGGATGTGGTGCCGTGTAGATATTGTGTTAACCAATGTTTCGGAGCACATGCTCATGTTGGTTCTCAGCTCATGGTTTCCTTTCTTCTTCTACCCTGAAGATGGAGGCGATACGCTCCTCTGAAACGTCAGTTAACACAATATCTACATGACACCACATCCCAGAAGATGGCTTTCTTCATAGTCACCGCTGTGAAAATATCAAATCTTTCATAACATTTCAAGACGCCCTACGTATGGGGAAGAATTGTCATCCAAACTATAAAGTCCTATTAAATAAGCAGTATAATGATAAATGTTCCCCATCTCATGTATTCATCTATATGGATTCTTAATATCTGAGAAAAAGTGAAAGATGTGAATGACATGAAAATTATTTATGATAGGGTGGTACGTGCAATTTCTTGCATAGGCAGAAGTGTTTGATTATGGTATTTTCAGTATGAAAAGAATGCAGGATATATGCCAGTAAATAAGAGAACTTACAAGATGAACACACCAATGATAGATTATTATTTTAAGATCGTTTGTTTCTTTGGTTATTTGGTTATGCTGATCAGTATATAGAAATTATGTATGTCTGAATGTAAGAGGGTTGGTACAATGATACACTGATTTATATGACTGAATAACTTAATAAAATGATCTCCTACATGATACACCAACACAATTCACAGTAACTTTGATGCACTGAAACAGTCAACTTACGTGGTCTATGTTTTTGTTGTTGAATAGGAACAGGTCCTTTCACTGCATTATCTCCATGGAAGTGTCCTGGTGAGTTTGTTACATGTTCAGTCTCATGAGGTAAATCTCGGTCCCTGTTTGCACCAAACTGTTTTCTCAGACCTCGTCCACCTAAACTGCCAGTAGCTCCTGAAGAACACACATACAGTGATTTTTCATTATTTACCTGTAGTTTATTTAACTACACTGTCAGTGACTTGGACTATATGATGTTGAATGATTGGATGATAGTAAATAATGAACTGTGGAAGGAAGTTACCATGCCATAATTTAAAGTAATATCCATCACTGGTCTAGAGTGACTGAATAAAATCATGACGAATCTTGGTTGGGATCGAGTCTGTTACCATTTGAGCAAAATCTGCTCAGTGAAAATATAATGAATCTTCATTATTACAACAGCTAGCAAAAGAGTTTGGAAAAGTTACCAAGCAGCCATGAGAGCAAGAAAACATGTGAAATCTTAATAATTTATGCACAATAAGAGTATTTAGACTAACAACAGCATATAAGGATATGTTCCTAGATTAGCACAAAACAAGTACTTACCTACAACAGGTAATACAGGCTCATGTCCTTGTGAGAATCTGCTGGATGCATCATTAGAATCATCTCCACCAAAGGTAACGGTTTCACTGTTTTCGTTCTTCGGCCGAGGAGGTGATGGCAAACGACCACCTTCCATATTAACAATGCTGACATATCCAGGCCTGATACCACGCGGTAACACGGTGAAACGTATAAAGTGCTTCTTGCCACGAACAATAATGGGTTTTGGAAGTCCACCAAATTCAACTTTGATAGGCTGTCCATTAATTAACACAGTCGACAAAGCTTCGACAAAATGAAGTACGTGGGGTTTATTCTCAATGTCAAATCTGAAAACACAACAAAAGAAAATGCTAGTTGGTTAGTGTATAACAGCATGCACAACACCATTGCATTTATTTGCATACTTTATGTACTGCATCCCAGAGTTCTTGAATTATTGGGCTTTTGGACTTTGTCCAAACCATCGTCAGAAGCCTTTATAATGTACAAGAATTCTTGGGGTTCTAAAACTGGGGTATTTGGACTATGCATGAAACTTTCCAAGAAAGTTAAATTTATGGGAAACATTAAGCTCAGCTTAAGAAATGTAAATAATACAATGATAAAGTTACTGTTTCACAACCATCACTTAAGAGTTTGAAGCTTACAGACTAACCGCAAAAAGAAATATGGACCACATGCTGAATGACAACAACACATACAATATTTTAAGAACCCATACATTTTCACCACAATTGCATTCATAATCATGGAAAAGGGAATAAAAAATTAACGTACTTTCACATAAATAAGGAATGCATACTTAATAAGGTAACACAAATTAAAAAGTAAGCAGAGTATTTAATAATTTTATATCCCTAGCTCTTCAGGAAGTGGTTATATCAACAAATTTTCAGATTTCAAATCTTCGATTATCTAGGAAGCGGAGGCGTGCCTGCCTGTCTGCCCCCCCCCTCCATTTTTCAACGATTACCTAAATTTTGATAACAGGGCAAATCCATTCTTTTCTCATATATCAAACACAGTTTGTATGTTTGCTTGTGACATCTGCACTCAAGGGCACAGTAGTACCTCTCAAATGTCTGGCAATGATGTTAATCACTAAAGAGCATTTATTACTAATCACTTGGTAACATACTGTAGTATGATGGCTGAATAGCCAAATGATGGTATATGTAGATGTGTCTAGTCACTAACACATGACAATATGTAATTATTTCCACACCTGTAATTTCAAGTATCAAAGCCAATGCATGTGTATATATGTCTGTTCAGGTTCATAGGACATGGACCTTGATGAAGATGTTGAAAGTACCCCCCAAAATCCAAGCAACCAGAATTCTCATGGAACCAGCAAAAATTTTGAAGAAAATATACCACCATTTTTAAAAATTTACTTTAAAAATAAATTTGCAAGGTGCATATGTTCACCAGCCATGCAGCAGCCATTCGGCACACATTTTGTCAAATGTAAGGAAAATGTGATGCCATGTAGTCTAAGTAATGTCTTTCAATAGAGTTTGTTTTGCCAATAATATAATGAAACAAAATTTGAAATCACAATTAATGTATCTAATTTATTTCATTATCAGACATACTTATATGGTGACTTCATATTTTATTATGTCTATTTGAAATTAAATTAATTAATTAAATTTAAAAATAAATTTCCAAGGTGCATATGTTCACCAGCCATGCAGCAGTACTCCCTGAGGTCCTCCCTCACACAGAAGTCATTACACTTGCAGTGATGTGTGATTACAATAAAGGTTAGGTGAATCTGTGATAGCATTACAGTATACCTTCTGTTCCATGCTACAGCACATAAGAAGACTCCCATGTAAGAACCAAAGTGAAAACATTCTGTTTTGTATTTCAAATATGAAATGGAAATATTAAAAGACTGGAAAAGGCTGAAAAACACATGACATTTGCATTCTGGAAGAGCATTCCCATGCAATCGGCACACCCCCATTCCCCATACAGGTTGGATAAGGAGATTTACTGTAGTATGTAACGTGGCCAATATTTTTCACCACTCTTCTCCTGTAATTTCATGTTTTGGGCAATGTCTACTTAACTGTTCTAACACAAAAGGGAGACAAATGAATTAGGGCAGATCAGATGATAAAAGAGCTGGGAAAGGAATATGGGAGAAAGAGACAGAGTTACAAAAGTTTATGGAATAAGTGCAGAGACTTTCTGTTGAATATAACAGCATTATGTTAGTGAACATGTTAGCTCAGGTCTTGGGAATGGCCAATTCAATTTCAATCAAAATGTCGAAGTCTCATCAGATGTGATAATAACACAAAGTATTGTGCATTCTATTCCATGATTATTTTCTGTAGTACACTTTAAGTACAACATATCACAGAATATTCTTTCACAACTTTAATACCCTCAAATAATATGGTGTTTCAATTTTAATATTTAAATACAAACAGAAGCAAGTTCTTCATTATCTGGCAATTATAACATCAACGCTTAGCCAAAATAATTAATACACCTTGGGGGCAAGGGGGGAAGTACAAAATTTTAGGTTGCTTCAGACCACACTGAAAACACTATTATTTTAAGGTTTAGTTTGCAACATGTAAGATCTCAATGCCATTAGCAACCATGACAATACTTAATAAGTACATAAAACAGAATACTTCTTTAAGAATGCCCTCTTGTGGGATGTGGTACCATGTAGATCTTGTGTGAACCAATGTTTCGGAGGAACGTATCTTCAGGGTAGAAAAATCCCTGAGCAAGGAACGAGGGTCCTACACGGCTCCACATCCCAGAAGATGGCATTCTTCAGTCTTTGCTGCAAAAACCTCAAATCCTACATAAAACACTTTTTACTTTTCTTGATGAAAAGTTTATGAATACCCAGGAATAATTACTGAGAAGGATCTAGATACACCATCCATGTATTTTGTCAAATGTAAGGAAAATGTGATGCCACGTAGTCTAAGTAATGTCTTTCAATAGAGTTTGTTTTGCCAATAATATAATGAAACAAAATTTGAAATCACAATTAATGTATCTAATTTATTTCATTACCACACATACTTATATGGTGACTTCATATTTTGTCTATTTGAAACAAATTTATAATTTCATGTATTCACTGAGAATAGACTGAATCACAAATAACACATGCCTCTACAAGTAACCTGAAATTAATTTCTATTTATTTATTTCAAATGTGCAACATAAAGCACTTACCTTTGTGGTTTGGCATCCAAGAACACAGGTACCATAGTTTTGGCATTAATGATTAAATTGATCTTGCCAGCGACCAGATCTGTCCGCTTCATCAGGCCAATTTTAACTTGAGGAGGTGGACCCTCCAATTTGACAACATGCATCTTCCCATCAATTTCAATCGTAACTGGAGGACCACCAAAGAAACATTCATACCACTTGCCATCAATATATAGTTCACGAGTTGGTGCACCAAGTCGTATCCTGTGGATGAAAACATTAGGTGATCTTAAATACAATCAACCACGTATAATTATGTATAATTAGGAGGGGGAAGGGAGAAAAACTCTTTCACACACAGACTGAAGGTATGGGCAATCTCCAGTACAACAGGCGTTGTGGTTATATTTCAGTTCAGATATAACAGCTTATTTAAACTTGCTTCTATAATTCTGGTGGCAATATTATAACTCTGATGGAAACGTCTGCAATATACAATATTAAAATTTGATACTGTAACCACATACCATGGAAAACAATACCTACAAAAACAAAGACTTTAATAAAAGCAACAATGAAGATGTTAATTACTAACCTGTGAGTACATCCATCAATGATAAACTCTCTGTATGTATCATTCAAAGAACAGAGTATAGACTCTCTCTCATCAAATGTGACTGTTCGTGCACCTCCCTGGAAACCGATTTCTCGTGGATCGTCCCATGCTAGCATCACTACAGCGGTGTCACCGTAGAAACGTATTTCCCTAGGCACACCGTCTATATTAATAGTCCTCATTCTATCCTGTGCTATGAGCTCGAGAATCATAGGATCTGCTGGTGGCAGTTCATCATTTCCACGTGCCTGCTGCTGATGTATCTGCTGCTGCTGCAGCAAAGATGGAGTAGGTCCCCGAAATCTGTTATCCGAACGGCCACTAAAACGTGACTCAAACCTAAAAACGAAGAAAAATACTGGTGAGAAACTTGAGTTCATGTATATGCCTGTGGTTAAATAGAACATAAAGAAATACAGTTTTACTGAAGAAGAAACTTTAAATACTTCAATTTAAATCACACTTTCTCCCCATTTCAGACTATATTCAACATTTACCAGAATGTAAAGGTTAAGTTATCCCTGCGCTTAATTAGTTAAGCATTATGTCATGAAGACATATAGGGGAGTGGGGGTACAACGCCGCCTTTCTTGCCCTTGGCACTAGATGGAGGAGAGGGGTCAGCTTCGTGCACCAGCCACTTTATACTGAAAGTTAACTTACCTATCTACATCACCTTCAAAAGGTGTACGACTCTGAAACTGTGGTCTCCACCGGTTAACTCCACCAAAACTGTCAACTGGTTGAAATTCTGGTCCTGAAGTTTGGTGAAAGGGGATGCCTTGTCCTTGACTTGGGCCTGGATTAAGCATACGGACATGAGTGCCAAGGTGACCTTGAGTTAAGGGTACTGAGTTTGCACTATGTGCACTGCGTATCCATGGATTAGGTGCATGGTCCCAATGACCAGATCTCATGTGAGGACGTCCAGCATCATTCCATTGTGATGGTCCAGGCTGAAATTTGCCTGGCATGGACAGCTCAGAAGATGATGGCAATGAGGTTGTAAGATTTCTATGCTTATGAAGTACTGGGAATCTCTCATCGATGTCTCCAAACCTGGCATCTATAGAGGAACTACCTGCAACAAAATAATGGCATATAAATTTCAGTTTGAAATCATCTGCATTACCAACTTCTGTGGCATAAACCTACAATTATTCCGCCTATTCACAGGAGGAACGTTTATGTACTTGGCTTGTGGCCAACCTCACTGGAATCACTACAAGGACCAAATTCCACACTTGTCACGTATAATCAAACTCATCATCAACAATCAATGTTTCTCTGGCATTCTAGGCAGACAAGCACACTGATCATTTTTTAATTCTTACCAATGTGTGGAAACATACTTATTTGGTTTACATTCTTCAGACTTTTACTTTATTTCATCATTACACATCTTGGAAACATGCAATGAGATAAATATGTCCTCAGACTTCAAGACAACTTCTAACACAAGCAAAATATAAATAAGGTGACAATGTTAATCATCCCAATCCCCAATATATATCGTGAAGGCCTCAATGAAATAAACTGGTAACTGGTTATACCTAATGCAGTTCATGTTACAAATGACCATACCTGATCAACAGTCATCAACAGAGAGCATACTCAGCAACTAACCAAAAAGAGATTTTTGACTATGTGAAAATAATATTTCATCATCAATCCACGTGAATATGGTAACAAATCTGTATTGAAAGATAACTGTAACTATACCTTGTCTATCATCATCTGCAATGATTGGCGATAAATGACCGGTTTCCCCTGCACGTCTTCTTCTGCTCCGTTCCCAGTTCTCTTTATTTTCCTGCTGATCTCGTCTTTGTGCTTCTCTTAACTTCTGAACTTCATTTAACTGAATTACCTGTAAATTTTAAATACATTGTAATAGCACATCATATAGTACACTTTCCATTATTACACATTTTTTGGTTCCCAATAGTTACTGTTAACAAAACTGTTTAAAAAACCCTACTTTAAGTCTCAACCAGCATAAAACTACATAACCAGAATGAAGATATTATCAACTACTTCAATTCTGGGATGTGATACCAGGCAATCTGTTAGATGGTTATAAATGTAGCCCCTGCTGGTGTTTTGCCTTTTCTCAAGGATACTGCCTTGATTGGTGGTCCTATCTCCCCCCCCCTCTCCTTAATCTTCTTCTGATTTCTCCTTCTATCCCTCTTCTGCCACCACAAGCTCTGTTCGCATGCTATTCTTCCATAAAAGCTGCCCTTTATGAGCCACTGTTTTCAAAATTTGTCTCCCCCCACCCCCGAGTTCTCTCTCACCATCCTGTAGCTCACTTAAAGCCATTCATTTTTCCAGCCCCTCTACTCTTGAAAAGGCATAATTATGACCTTTCATTGTATTGCATTACTATGCATTTGAAGGAGAAAGCTCTAGATCGCATTAAGTGGAGGAACTGTTTCGGAAGAGACTGTGGACCTGTCGTCTTGACAGATTACTGATGAATGAATGAAGAAACTAACAAATTTTTCAATGACTGGACCTGCTCATTTTCCTGGAGCAGGTTTATATTCCAGTCTCCACAGATTATTAATTTTTTCTTGTTTTTGTGTATTCTCTCAATGAGATTTGAATTTCTTCAAAAATATTTTCACATCACCTTGAAGTGATCTGTAAATACATATCAATACCCATTTAAATTTTTCAGTTTCCACAAAGTTTTTTTCACTACTCAGTTCATTTAAAAACGTGACTTCCCTTACGTTCACCTCTTTGTTTACAAATATACATGATCCACCACTCTTATTTTGCTTTCTACAAAATTTATTAACCAGTTTAAACTTATCTATTTCTACCAAGGTTAGTGAGAATTCATCCAAACAATGTTCTGTAAAGCACAGTATATTTACATCCTGCAAGCTAGAATTTAAAAGTACTGTCAATTCTATGCGCTTATTCCACAGACTCTGAACATTATGGTGTAAGATTGTAAACATATTATCTTTTAAATTCCCTCTCGCTTCCCGTTTACTTAAAGTGTTACTTATGTTTTCCCTTGTTATTTCCATAAAAAATCCGGGTTCCTTTTCTTTGGAACATTTGAGGGTCATTTTACATGGGTTTATATAGATACATAGATAATACAGGAAATGACATAAATTTACATTAGAACTGGTTATCACGAGAGGCAGACCCTATCCAAATTATACAGCTTTTGTATTAAGATAACTTTCTGTGTAATATTACAGATTATACTGACCTGTTTCAGCACTGTATTATAATGAGAAAACGATATTGTGCCATTTTTTAGCTGTTCATCAGCTTCCTGCATGATCATATTAACATTGATATCACTAGCATCATCAAATAAATGATGCCTCATATCTGTATCCTCTTCAACTGCAGTGCTGAGGGACCGACGCCTTTCTCCAGGATCATCTAATGGGAATACAAAATTCACAATCATCATCATCATCAACTTTATGTGCAGTATGTACTTGCAACAGACTCTTTCATTGATCATTTCACTAGTTTTCTGCCAGAAATAAACAACTTTTCTCAAATTCTATGCAGTTACAAAACCTGCTGTGAGTGAGGATTTATATGACTCTAAGCTTACCAGTCAGGTATTCCTAACATAGAGGTATCTACAATGCTATTGCAAGGAAGGTTCAACAGAAACTCAGCCACTGGCAGTTACCAGAGATCTATTAGGACCAGACTCAAAGTCACTAACATATTCAGAAATGCAACCTGCCAAATCATAAAGCACTCAATGTCTCTAGTGACATACTGGCTATATAAGGGTGTACAATGTTATGCAAAACAATGGACTATCTTGTAAGCTGTTGTCCTTTTGAAGCTTCAGCTTTAGTACTGAGCTTGTGGGCTTCAGATTAACCTCCATTATATCAAACCATAAGCTAAACTCTGACCCAATGAAAGACCAAAGCTATTTGCTCAATAATAAAATCAATTCTTTAGCAACTACCAATAAAACCTCCGTCGAGTGTAACAATATATATTCTTGTCACCATTTCCTCACATTTGCCTTACATGTTTCGGCTCACAAAGAGCCATCATCAGAGGCATCCACAACAAAAATATGGAAACACTTGCACTGCTCAACAATCACAATATACAGTTTTTTGTGGAAGATGTTACACTTATCGGAGCGTAAAACACAACAACATCTAGTACCCCGAGTGCGGGNTTCTTTAGGTATTCATTTTAAGAACTTCCTTAAAATGTTCTACTTTCCCCTTTTAGACCGTCATGTTTTTTTCCTACAAACATTACTCTGGCTTTGGAAACACAGCAAGAAACCTTAATATTTCATAAATACAGTACAGTTTTTGGTTATCAACTTTTCAAGAACACTCTGTTCAATGGGGCTAGCTGGCCATGTCTCAGAAATGCAGCATTACACATATTAATTTCTGTGCATAACAATCCAACTAGTCACTTAGAAAAATATGTATTGACAAGTTCAAATGCAATTACATACTTTTTCACTCACTTATCTGTGGCTGGCAATCTACTAGTGCTTTCTCCAGCTACCATGATTGACCAACAGAATACACTTTAAGCATGTAGTTCTTTTCTCTCTCATTAGATGACATATGCAGCTATCCACTGGAAGTCCATGGATGTGTAGATACCTTGTTATTAATTTCCTCACTATGAAATACCGTAAACTTGCAGTATACTATAAAATGGCTAGGAGCTATGCCAGCAGCAAAGCATTAATTAATCTTTGCCCATGCATCATATAGGTTCATGCTAAGTTACAAGGAAAATAGACCTTAGTATATGTCTCAATACAGTAGATCCTTTGAAAGTTTGGACACAAAAACATTATTACCCCCCCCCAATAAGATTCAGGAACTTATGGCCTGCAATAAAGCAATTATTTGCAGAATGTTCACACCCTACAATATATGGAAAGTGGAAAAACGTGGGTATGATTATACTCCAATGCTACATTAATGCACTGATACTTTCATACTTATTGGAGAATTAAACTAAAATTCAGAAAAGTAAATTATATGTCAATCTGTTCAAGCCTACCTGGCAACTTGTGATAAAGAAGTGGTTGTCCAAGTTTATCAAACTTTCCACTACTTCTGTGAAAATTTGACAATCCTCTGTCCCTGGGATTTCCATATATCATGTCTCTTCCTCTTAGTTGTGAACTGGACCCTAGAGTTGAACTACGTGATTTTTGTAGATCAAGTTCGTCACGACCAGAACGACCCATGGGCCGCAATGGAGATTTATATGTATCTGGTTTCTTCTCCTTATATTTTGCCCAACCTCGAGACTTCAGTTCACTTTCACAATTCTCTTTACCATCGTCTTCACTAACAGATTTGCATTCATCCATGCGGACTTCAGACTCCACCCTTTCTCTCTCAGGTGATGGCTGCTTTAAAGATGAAGTAGTGTTCACTGAACTATCCTGAGACGATGCTGATGTTGGAACAGGTGAAGATTGAGATATTACTGGAGGTGGGGGTGGTGATGGAGGTACAGTCTGCATGACAACTGGTACATTGGGAGGTAACTGTCGAAGATCAACATCTTCATTTCCAAACAACCTGAAATTGAACCACATTAATGCTAAATTATTAACATGAACTTTTAATGGTTCCACCAAAAAAGTATTGAGAGCATTTGGTATACTTTAGAATATTTGTATTATAATGATTCATATATGGGAACTGATGAAATATGACTGCTTGCCTGATGTTTTTTGACTCAACAAAGCGGTAGGCAGAACTTCATGACAGTCACATATCAATGACTAACAGGGCCCCTTTCTCTAGGATATGAGACTCTCTGAGAAGTAAGCTATATCTGATACTGTGGTTTGAAGAAGTGTGTACTGTAACTATATATACCGTGGCATATTAATTAATCACAAAACTTTCCTGAGTATCCTAAATTCAATTAAAATGTCATACACTTCTGAAACTGAGTAAGAAATACGTGTGGCAATGCAATGTACTTAACCTTAAGGCACCAGCTCAATAAAACTGATTTGAATCACTGTGCCTGAATCCATATTATCATTAATAACTTCTCCAATATATGATTCTCTAAAGGTCTGTGACAATTTCTGTTCATAAACACTATGCTAAATGCTGTTTCAGAAGCTGGATCTACTTCCATCATCAGGTGTAAGTGGGGAAAAGGCTCTTATTCAGCTTGGCCTGTAAGGAATTAGTCTCAACCAGCAGGCAAAGTGACTGCTGTCTAAAACCAATAATTTCCACCTAGCTCATAATGATGTAAGTATTCAGATCTGCCCTCTATAGTGCCTCATGCCTTCTCATGGCATGCAGTTTTCACTAAAATGCATCTGGGACAATGTTACTACCGACTGGTTTTCAACTGTTCCTTTCAGTCCTAACAGGCATATTAAGGTACAGTACTTTAAATTTGGCCATGATCACCTCCTTCTACATCCTTTCCAATTCATTACTATCATCCAAACATCTGACACTATATCCAATGTACAGAGTGGCTCAAAAGTCAGTTAACCTACAACATTCTCTTCTATTAAAGGGAAGGTTCAGATTTAAACCTGCCAGTCAATTTGCAGAACAGTGTCACAATGCTGTGAGTCGTACACTAAACAAGGAGGACCTTATTTCAAAAAATTATGTAAATTCACTAATGAATATGAAGAAATTTCTAATATGCTTTAGGGAACATTTTACTAACCAGTTTGGTTCTGTGTCACACGGTTTATGGTGCAGCCTGAGATACTGATATCATTATTAAACAAACTTTAAAGAAACAAACATGTTCAGATGCTAATTAACTTACTCATCAAATACTTCTGCTTTTGTTTTCTTTGGTGGTGGCTGCTCTCCTCTTTCCGTGGATGAACGTTTCCTACTAGGTGACCCAGGAAGATGACGCAAATCCACATCCTGATTTGCAGCTTCTACAAGTGGTTCTGGATTATAAAAATGATTAAATATTATTTCAGAACACAGGCAGACCAATGAGGAAAAACCTGCTCTGAACACAGTGCCACTTTACATCACTATCCTGCTACCACAGCTATTCAAGGTACATACATGGTTCCCTGCAGCTGTGTCAAAATTGTTCCTATAGATTTGTTAATTTGACATGGCAAAATAAATAAAAAGCATGAACAATTTACATATTCTTTTATGTCTTCATCAACAGAAGACGATGTCTTTACCTGGTAGACGATGTAAAACTGTATCCTCTGTTGATGTAGACATAAAAACTGTTTCAAGTTATTTATTCTGTCTTATTACCATACCAAGTTACAAGACTTCTTGAAACAAATGTGACACACTGAATGCTAAACTAATAATGCACATCTGAAGGTTGTATATATCAACACAAGATATATACTTTTACATGCTTTACCAGGTAATATGTACCTTCTATTCATGTAGATGGAAAACATTATATGAACTGTATTAATTAAATACCAGAACATGATACAATTAAAAACATATTAATCAATGAATACAAATTTGCTTAGAAGAAAATTCAATAGTATAAAACGAACTACAGGAAACGAGGAATTACTGAAAGTGTAATTGAAATTTAAGAAAATTACTTCACAATAATAAAAAAAAATCCAATGACATAAATGGTTGGATTACAATTTAAAAAACTAATATGAAATGCATAATTTAATGCAAAAATTAAGTTTATTTTGAAATTTTATTTTATAACTAAGACTGTGAATTAGTCCTTCATAAACATTCAAATCCTAGTAACTCATACCAAATGAAGAAAGGTGTCTTTATGTAACATTTCTCTAATCAGTTCAAATAAATCACAACCTATTCAACTGACATTAAAAAAATGTGATTCCAACTTATTACTTTATTCTTGGGGGTAAAGGGCGGCCACTGCGTAAGGCTGACAAACCTACTGCCATCTATGAGCTGATTGTCTAGAAAACATCTCACAACCCTATGGACCTCCACGGGCTCTTACAAGGATACCTTTACTTACTTTACTATTACTTGTGAATGAGATACAGATTAATACAAAGTTATTACTCAACATTTTTGAGTGCTGATGGAGGCTAGAATTAGCACCACCAAAGAGAATTTTGGTACCCCAACACTAAACTTCCAATGGCAGCATGGGCAAGCAAAATTAAGAAATATTAATCTTCTGAAGCCAAACTTTCAACTGTGTTATTTTGTAACAATCATCATGGCATGACAGTTGTGTAATGTGTATAAAATAAAAAAAAATGCAGAACTATATCTAAATTGTGCTTCATTAAGATAGTGTTCCACCACATTCCCAAATCAAATAAACTATTGAAATAAGAACTAAAATCCAGTTATTATGTCATACAAGGAAGTTCTGGTTGAAAGAAAAATGTTTTTCTATAAACTTGATATAAAAACTGTGTATTTATCCTGTCTTTCTTGGCAAGAACCACAACAAACTAAACACCACTGTTAGACAAATCTGTGCACTGTCATGGTCATTACCTCCCAGGGACTGAGCTTTTCATGTATTTCACTGCTGCAGGAAAATATTAATGATACAAATGATTTATTACCAAAATAAATAAATGAAAATATGGCCAAAATGGTCAGCTGATCTGACAATCAAAAGACCATATCAACGAAGTAACTAATGACTTATAAGACAGATCTCAAGCCTGTCAACACACATCTCAAAGTTCTTATCTTACACTTTAAAATTATATCCTTATTTTCATAAATAAGCTGGGATAGTGCAGTCAGTATAGCAACTGGCTACAGACCGGACAGCTGAGAGACCAGAGTTCGAGTCCTGGTAGTGGCAAGATTTTTCTCCTCTCCACAATGCCCACATTGGCTCTGGGGCCCATCCAGCCACCTATCCAATTGATATTGGGGGCTCTTTTTTGGGGGTAATGCAGTCAAGGTGTAAAGCTGACCACTCCTAAACATGTCTTCATGGCATAGTGCTTAAGTAGTTAAGCACAGAGAGAACTTCACCTTCTTTTTAAATCTTACTCATTTTCATAACAATGGTAATACTGTAATAATAAAATCTCTTTAATGGATATATCCAAAAGTAAGGCAAGGTACTTGCTACAGTAATAGCAAGTACAGTGGAACCTCACTTAACAAGCACCTCTCATAATGAGTAATTCACATAACGAGCAAAACAAATTGTAAATAAAATGACTCGCTTAACAATTGACATATTGCATAATGAGTGACAAGAGGGGAAGTCCCAGATTGTGCGCTTGCTACATCAGTCTGTGTTTAGCATTCGTTCCGCTAACATCTTAGTGTCGCTTGTGGTCACACATTTTTCCAAACTTGTGTTCAGACATATCATTTTTTATTTTTTTGTGCAAAGTTTAACAACCCTTGCAAAAATGTCCCTGAAGAAAATCCACAAAAAGACAGCCCATAAGAGAATAAAAATAACTGTAGAAATGAAAAGTAAAATCATTGAAAAGCGAGAACGAGGTGTGAGCATGGCTGATTTAGCACACACATACAATCGGTCTACGTCAACGATTTGGAGTTGCATTGTGTTTCACAGCAAGAAGTTGTGGAGGAGAGTTTGTCAGAGGAGGAGGAGGTAACAGCAAAACAACAATCTTCTGGCACAATAAGAGAAATGCTGAAAGCATGGGAAACTGTTGCATTGTACATTGAGAAGCATTACCCTAATAAGGCAGTAGCTATGCACGCTACAAACCTATTTAATGACAATGCTGTGTCGCATTTTCATCAAATTTTGAAGCAAAAACAAATGTCTCTAGACAGCTTTCTAGTAAACAAGAATTAGATATGTATCATAAATAACAAACCAATTATTTCGATTTTTTGTTTTCTACAAATCGAATTTGCATTCCAGGTTGGTTCATTCTGCATAGAAGAAAAGATGAAGATGATTCACGCTCCTTAACAATGTATATATAATTTTCTTTGAATAAACGTTATACATAAAATTTTGGGGGTATTTTTTCTGCATGGAACGCATTATCGTATTTTACATTAATTTATATGGGAAAAATTGTTTCGCTTAACGAGTGTTTTGCATTACGAGTAAGATTCTGGAACGAATTATACTCGTTAAGCGAGGTTCCACTGTATTAAAAAGTGATCAGCTCATTTAGCACAACTGTCTTTAACAATACAAAGACAATACCTTTGAAACAAGACTCACCACTTCCAATACTACTAGAAAAATTCTAAAATACAAAATTTCATGATAATAATGTAATAACTGTACAGTATTCTATTAACACCACAAGACTGCTATTGATTTGGCCATGAAAAATTATAAAAAACCAATAAAGAATAGCAGCATTAGAATTCACCAAACACTGAACACAGTTACACATCCAAAAGACAAGCATAAATTTCCTTGCAATATTTTTTAATTAACATCTAAATCAATAATGCCTTAGAACTGTTTGACTGTATCTTATTAATTCAAATTTTATCAGTGATTTATCTTACTTAAACATATTAGATGAGGACTTCATGGCATTCTAAATTTAAATTGTGAATTTCTGGGCTGTGACACCACTTTACCAGAATATGCTGGCAGCAGATTCCCCTACAAAACTGGCAACCACCTCTGAGACTACATGGTGTCAAAACTGAGATCGCAATTTAAAGAAATTATCTGAATATAGCCAAATATAATTTATCTGCTCTTCATAAACATTAAGTTTATATCTCTAATTAAGTTAAGATGCAGGACAAAAATATTGCTTCTATGCAAATGCAATGCTGCCATTTACAATGTTGCCCTTGGGGTCCACCCAGCACACTACAGCAGTCCCTCATTATATTTATTTTAGTCCATGATCAAAATAAGAATATCTGCAGAAGCACTGGCTACTAATAAAACAAGCCTACAACTGTTCAAAACACCCAATTTATATATTTCAAAATTAGAAGCTATCACCAATGTGTAACATAAATGTTGTATGTTACAAACTGCACAATTTTTCTTATCGATACTAAAATTTATAAGCTATTTCAGCACTGAACACTCTCTTCAACAAATTTCCTACAGATAATAATGGCAAATGCTGAATTTTCAGGGCTGGTTTCAAATTCAGTGATATTCATCACCCCATTTATCATGGTCTGATTGTGAAATCTACCCCAAATTAAAATACTGTTACATTTACATCGTAGAGAATTCAATAATTCTCTCATTTTCGGCAAGAAAACATCAAAACTGAAGAGCACAACACATAAATAACTATTGCCGACTTACATGCATATTGCACATTTTTTCCTTTTGTTCTCAGAAAATGACATGCCTCAAATCACATTGAGGAAAATACGTAGGTCGTACAGAAAGTCATGAGCAACTTTTTTTGAATGCAAACTGGGAACAGCAGACAAAAGAGAGTATGGTGGTAGGTGGAACCAGCTGTTGCGTTAACCTTGAGTGTCTTGTGACGTCAATAGCTTACATCACATGACCAGTATCACTCATAACAAAATGGCCAACAACCATATGTCGTTTCGCCAGCGTGCTGTCATCGAATTTCGAAAGAGGAAATCCCTGCTGCAGAAATTCACCAGAGACATCAGCATGCTTATGGAAGTGTGTGCATGGGTGCGAGCAGTATTCGAAGATGGGTGAAACATCTTAAAGATGGGAACACCAGCATCGAAGAGAGCCTCTGAGCAGTCGTCCTCGAACAGCCTCAACTGAACACAACAAGGAAAGAGTGGATGGGATCATTCGAGATGACAGGCGTGTGACTGTGGACACAATAGCCCAAAAACTTGGAATAGGGCACAGTGCAGTACAGGAGATGATTGAAAGCTTGGGCTATAGGAAAGTTTGTGCTCGTTGCTTGTAGGGTCCCACGGTTATTGACCGAAGACCACAAAGGTCAGCGAAAAGCCATCACTTCAGAACTGCTGCAGAGATATCGACACGAAGGCAATAATTTTTTTGCTCTATATTGTGACAGG